GCAGCCCCGCTGCAAACCCGGCACGGGCGGCAGGATGGGGCGGCGCTGCCACACACTGTAGTTTGTCTGCAAACCCCGCTCACGGGGTAGCCAAGCCCTTCCCAAGTAGCTCCTGCTGTCTGGCTGAAGCTGCCAGCGCCCTGGGGCGTTACCCTGCCACGGCCATAGCTGCCATGGTGCCTGAGCCTTGGGCTGGTGCACGCTCACGGCGGTGGCGCTCGGCCGTGCCCCGGGGCGCGGGTGGTGCGGGGAAGCACGGGGCCCTGCACCGCGCAGGGTGCTGCGAGCGAGCGAGCGAGCGGCGACCGCGGGCTACTTACTTCCTTTCGCCTTTGTACCACTCAAAGGCCGGGGCAGGAACTCCTGCACCTTCACATCTTATCAGGCCATTCCCTCCAAGCATCACACCACTGGACTTAAGTTCCTGAATTGTGGGGGCAACTGAAAAAAAAATTGTAAAATAGATATGTGTGTGTAAATTAAAGCTTGTTCAGGGCCACTCCTCGTCAGCGCGCCGCACACCACGCTCGGCCGGGCGCCTCGGCCAGTGCCGCCCGCCTTCAGCCACGTTTCCTCCCAGTGCGGTAAAAACTACCTGCACCGCAGGCTTGCATACACATCTGGGACAAAAACACAGCTGAGACATGAGGAAGTATTAAACCCACACTGAAAAATGACTTCTTGCTCTGTTCTGATTATACTCCCGACAGCACAGAGGCGCCTCGGCCGCCCTTGGGCACACTTACCTGCCGGCCACGAGGGAGGCCCGGGAACAGCGAGCGCTGCCRCTGCCGCCCCGCACACTGACTTGCTCCTTTGCTGGTGCCACGTGGCACACACGTTAAGGTCACAGACTGGGGAAGTGCGGAAAGGGCCGGCCGTTGGCTCCCGCTGCCRCGGGGACGCAGCCACAGGGTGCAAATGAGACCCAGGCAGATCCTCAGCAGCGGGGYGGGCAGAGGGAAGCCTGGCCAAGGCCTTGCCTCCTCCTTGGAATTTGCTTAAAAACTGCTTTGTCCAAGAAGTAATTTGTGTGCATTGGGAAAGGCTACACAAACAAAACGGCAGGGCTAGGAGACACCCATCCGGGTATTTTTCCTGGCAGTTTCCCAGCTGCTGCTCTCAGGTGCAGGTCTCAGGTGCTCTCAGGTGCACTGGGAAGGGCAGCTCCGGTCAGGTTGCTCTGCCGTCTCCAGCCTGCGAGCCACCTGGCTCCCCGCGCCGGCCCCCACACTCCTCCCGGGATGTGCCGGAGGCCTCATTCCCAGGATGCTCCAGGCGGCCTCATGTGGGATGAGCTGGGTGGCCTCTCCTGGGATGCGGCAGGATGCACCGCAAGGCTCTGCCCGGCTCCCGCCCGGCGCTCCCCGGCGCTGCCGTGTCCGGAGCATGGCTCGGAGCGGTGCCGGCAGCACGGCGGGTGCGCGGCCACGGAAAGCGCGAGGCGCCTGCTGGCTCAACAGCCTCCTCTTTTAATGTCTTAATGAGCTTTGGGACTTCTATGCATATTAGTTTTGTTGCCCTAATTACTCATTATAATTCTAATGTGCATTTTATATTTAATTACAATGCTTATAAACATTCAGTATGGACAGTAAATTATTGTAACGAGAATGTGTATAATTATTATGAGCTGAATTTATTAACTTTTTCACTAGCATTCAGTGATGGTAACTTTTGATTTCACCTTTGTGATTAACCATATTGTCTGATTAAGCTAACATTTTTGTGGCATTAATTGTAAATGTCAGAAGAAGTCTCCTGTTTCCCCACTTTCATCACATTTTAATCTGGCATCCTTGCCTACTCTTTTGTTGGTGAAATGGTCTCTAACATGTCAAAGGGAGACCTCCACTTAAGCGCACAGGCTTCCAAGCTCTGCTGGTTTGGGAAACCTGGCATGGGGAACTTCCAAGGATTTACTTTGTGCTGTTTGTTGTTCCTTAGCAATACGGTAGCTATATTTTCCAAGTGCAACAGCATTAGATGCACTTTGCCTTACGGAGATGGTCTTCCTGGTAATCCGCAGAGGCTGGAATTTCCCCGGCTAGCTTGCTTGGAGCAGAGGCTGCTCCGCAGCCTCCCAATTCCCGGTGTGTTCCCAAGCGCCTCTCTGGGGCAGGGATGGAGGGTGTTGCAGAGACCACTTGGAAGAGCCATGGTGCTGAATAATTACAAGCACTTATTATTTTCCACGTCTCCCTGGTGAGCCAACCCGAAGCGCCGTGCTCAGCGGGGCCGTGCGAGTGCTCGGTGCGAGTGCTCGGTGTGCCCTACACTGTGCACAGCCCCGCAGTGAGAACACAGCTGGACACGGAGCTGGGGGCAGCGCGTGGCGCCCGGGGAGCTGCTCCCCGGCCCCGTGCAGCACGGGCGGCACCACCGAGCGAGCAGCGACACAGGGAGCCCCGAGCACGGGGCCCAGGGGCCTCGGGGACGAGCAACGGAGACGCAACACGGCGCCCAGCGCCGCAGCAAAACCCCCGGTGTTACACTGGGAAACGCAGGCAGGTCGGCACGCGCACACGCGGCTGGGAGGATGACCGCCAGCTCCACGCGGCTCTGCCGTCTGATCCCACGTTACTGCTGCTTCAGTCTATTCAATCTCCCTGTTGTCGCAGAGTTCTCCCGGGGCGCTCCTGTTAAGGCCACACAGTGCACATGCTGGGGCCCGACTGCCTCYCTGAGGACCCTCCTCCTCCTCAGTGGGCCCAGGCAGGCGCTCAACGCAACCCCCCGACGCAGCGAGGATGGCGCCGCGTCCGCCTCACTTTGCCCCAGCAGAGCTTCCTCCAACCCGCCGTCGGCCKGCGCGCATCGCCTCGGTCTGGCTGAAGGCAAAGGCTTCATATTGACTTCTGTGGGCTTTGAACGAGGCCTACAAAGAGCTACAACAAAAGAGGATTTCGGATTTTCAAAAAGAAAAGGCAAAAAAGCTCCTTGAAAGAGAGCTAGTATAACAAAGACAACTGTTGTCACCGTAATGCCTCCTTTCATACGGCACTGCTCCCACTCCTGCAATTTGAGAGAAAAGTTGTCATCAATACTTCCTCATCAGCAGAGACTGACTGAGCAGCTGTAATTACCTGAGTCGAAAGAACAAATCTCTTGACATGAAATACGATGGTATTGACACCGAGCAGCGCCGACCTGGCCTTGTTTGGGCTTGAGATGCTTGCGGCGGATCTGTCAGCAGCCAGGGACTGGGCTGCAAAGTGGCAGGTGAGGCGACGGCTGAACCTGCGCTCGCAGCGCAGCGCGGCTGCGCATCCCTGCACTGCAGGAGGGTCCCAGCACCCCAGGGGCACGGAGGAGATGGGCAGTCCCACACGCAGCCCCATAGCCCGGTGCAGCCGCTGCCAGGAAGCAGGTATTCCTCTTTACTCTTCCCCTGCCTCTGAAGAAGGTCTAAAGCGAAGGACCTCAGCAAATGCCAGGATTTAATAAACGTCTCCTGGCAGAAGGGCTAGGCAGAAGGTGAGGCAAGGCAAGCTGGCAGTCCTCCAAGGAAGCCACGATTGGGACACAAACACAGCGTGTCTCAGTGCGGATGAGAAGCGCAGCCTCATGGCAACAGCTTCCCCAACAGCCTGGCACTCTTGCCATGGCCATGCTGTCTTGGCCGTATTTCCCACACCTGTTTCTGCAAACACGGCATGTCAAAAGCTTGTGGGTATCGAGCAATGACACCTACTGCCTTCCCCCATGCTTCACGGAAAGGAGGGAGCCAAGAGGATTTGTTCCTGACAAACTCATGCCAGCTCCTGCCCCTCTCTGAGCAGCCCCCGGTGCTAACAGGCCTGAGCAGCCCCACTGTACTTGTGACTGACCACTAAGTGCTCCCCAACAGCCACCACGTGTGCCGCCTGCTCCCTGTCCCGACCCAGCATGCACAGCCTCTCAGCAACGGCAGGTGCAGCAGGGTTGGCTTTACACCCGTGCTGATGAAGCCCACGGGGCTCCCCGGACCGCTGCGGCTCACAGCTCGCTCCTGGCAGGCTGCTGCCGACCCGCGTGGGTTGAGTCTGCCGCACACGGCGTGGCAGGACGGGCGCCCGCCCCGAGGAGCCGGGGCCAGCGCCGCGCAGAGCCGGGGCCAGCGCCGCGCAGAGCCGAGGGCAGTGCCGCGCAGGGCGGCACCGCGATGGCGGGCGTGCTCGCTGCGGGGCAGATATGCGCTCTATGGGGCAGGCGCATTTTCTATGGGGCAGGCGTGCTCACTGAGGGGTAGCTGCTCTGTCGGCCTCTCCTCTGCTGCGGCCCCAGCTGAGCTACCAAGCATGCACACGCAGAAAGAACTGGGATTAGCTGAGCTTAAAAAGGCGACTTGCTGCGGATCTATTAAATCTTTAAGTATGTAAGAGACTGTGGAAGAATGACAGCAACTCTGCGCCAGCTCCTTCGCGAGCAGGACAAGCGATAATAAAACACAATCCAGCGAGGGAGATTTGGACTTGCTAAGCCAGGCTCTTGCTGGAATAGATTGCTTACAGACACAGTTGAGTCTCCCTGATACCAGCTTTTGGTTCTTTTTAAATGCGGTAACAAGTATTTGAATAGCAGAGCTGCAGCTGTGTTTGGACAGCGGGATCAGCCTGACTCCTCACCTCCTCCTTGGCACTGCATTCTGTGATCCCTCAGATCCTGGGCTTATTAAAGTATCAGAACTGTCCCTGTAACGACAAATTCCTTTATTCAATTCTGCCAATACCAGTGTGGTCTGTGAGGCTGGATACCACTCTTTAGCACAACTGGAAAAACACTAATTATACTATTCCTGCCTTCTAACAGGAATAAAATCATCAGGTTCCTTCTTAACTATAAAAATGGCATAAATACTGAAAGTTGATTTGGAATTCAGAATAAAAAAAGTGACAGAAAGAGAACTTTCTTGCAGAAAACTTACAGCGTGCACCTTGGATTTGATTTGATCCAGCCTACACGCACAGCAAAGCAGCAAGGTGTGCTCACCAGCACGGCGCTCCTAGGGACAGGGCTCATTACTGCTGTATAATAAATGGAAGCATAAGTCAGCGTTAGCACCGAGCAGATTGTTTGGGGTTTGCAAAGACAGCAGCTGTCACAGTTTGACAGCTTTCTTGTTAGTGAATCAGCTTTGCTGACAGTCTTTTTGATTGAAAACCACTGTTCGCTGACAGTGTGTTATATCTGATATACATATGTATCTCATGAAGAATGAGAAGGAGCCATAAAAGGTCCAGGAGCTATTGCTCTGTATTAAAAAGACGTTCCCCCTCCCCTAATCTGCAGCAGATGTAAGCTTATAGAAACAGGACAGCCTATACTGATATGTGACAAGTACAGAAAGAGGGAAAGACCAGTCCGTTTTCTAACGAGAAGCAATAAAGTCACAGAAATACTAGTTGCCTTCCTACACCCTCAGGAAAAGCTGGTGTAATTCAGAAAGAAGAAGCACTTACGGGAGCAAAACCTCGCCACACTCTGTGCTGACCGGCAGCGAGGCCGCTCCGCCACCGCCGGCCCAGGGCTCTGCRGGGCTTCCAAAGCACAACCCGGTTGCTCTGATCTGCGCTTGGCTTCTCCCGCTCACACCGCTCCGCCGCGGCTACGGAGCCTGCCGGGCTGCCCGGGACTGCGGGTTCGCTCCTGGAAAGCACCAGGCGACAGCACTGTCACCAGCACCACCAGCACCAACACTGCCACCAGCGCCATTACCACCACTATCATCGCTAGACCCAGCAGCACAACCAGCACCAGCACCACTACCACGACTAGCACCACCCCCACCATCAGCACCACCTCCACCATTACCACCACTACCATCATGACTACCAGTATCATCATGACCACCATGTGAACACGGAGCATGACCCCTTCACTAGAGATGTGTTGACCTGCTGATGGCACCAAAAAATGAGCTGACTCTGCTAAGGGAGGTATTTTTTAGAAGCAAATGCATCTCAGCAATTCTCTCTCTATATATATTTATTTATAAGATATATTCATATAAAGCAATTTCTTTCCTCTCAGTCTTGTGTAATCATAGCTGATGAAAGCCAACAAACTGGGCACAGAGTCACAGACTCACAGAATGGCTGAGGTTGGAAGGGACCTCTAGGGATCCCCCAGYRCAGCCCCTGCTCCAGCAGGGACACCCAGAGCTCGGGGCACCCGGTCCCATCCAGGCGGGTTGGSAGATCTGCAGAGCAGGAGCCTCCGCAGCCTCCCTGGGCAGCCTGGGCCAGGGCTGGGCACCCCCACACCAAAGAAGTTCTTCAAAAAAGTTCCAATGGAACAGGCTGCCCAGAGAGGTTGTGGAGTCTCCTTCTTTGGAGATCTTTAAAACCCGCTTGGATGCAGTCCTGTGCCACGTGCTCTGGGTGACCCTGCATGTGCAGGGGGGTCCCTTCCAATGCCCCTTGGGCATTCTATGATTCTATGATTCCCCACATGGAGATGGAGCTGCCTGGGCTTCAGCTTGGACCCACTGCCCCTTGTCCTGTCACTGGCCACCACTGAGAAGAGCTTGGCCCCCTCCTCCCTACATTCTCCCCTCTGATATTCATACATATTGATCAGATTTCCTCTCAGCCTAAAAAGCCCCCACTCAGTCTTTCCTCTTAGGAGAAGAGGAATCCCTTCAATCCCTTAATCATCTTAGTCGCTCCGCGCTGGTCCCTCTCTAGAAGCTCCATGTCCCTCTTGTCCTGGGGAGCCCAGAGCTGCCCGCAATGCTCCACGTTTGGCTTCGCCAGAGTGGAGCAGAGGGCCAGGATCCCCTGCCTTGACCTGCTGGCAACGTCCTCCTGATGCAGCCAGGAGTCCATTGGCCTTCTTGGCCACGAGGGCACACAGGGTACCACGGATAAGTCACCTTGGGTTTTACATCACAGCTTAAAACACAGCACAAGGGATGATTCTGGGGCAACGAAAGGTGGCAGGGCTGTTTCTGACCACCAAGAAGTCGGGGGCTATGCAGTGGTTCTGTGCTGCTAATCCCTCACGTCTCTATGACAACCACTCATCTCTAAATGATGTCTACAGGTTTCCCAGCACAGTGTATCCCAGGACAGCCCTTGATGCAGGCCCAGCGTTACATTAAGTCTGGAAAAGAGGGATTTCCCTCCTAAACATGCAATTGTCCCAATGAGAGATAATTCCCAGGAAGTCCCTTTGTGCTGGTGCTGCCTCCTAAGGCGTGAGGCGTCAGAACGGCGCAGCCCTCTGCCCAGAACACTGTGCCTTGGACCGCGTGGCCACAGCCCTGCAGGGAAGAGACTGTGGGTTGTCCATGCTGCCCAGGCTGGGCGGCCACATCTGCAGGGCCCTGCCTGCTGCCCGCTGCCCCACATGGCCCTGCCTGCTGCCCTGCATGGCCCTGCCTGCTGCCCGCTGCCCCATGCAGCCCTGCCCGCTGCCCGCTGCCCCATGCAGCCCTGCCCGCTGCCCGGCTCCAGCCGGCAGGAGGGTGACGCCGTGGGCAGAGCCGCTGCTCCGCTGCGCGGGCGCAGAGGCAGCCGCACGGCGCAGAGCCCCGGGAGCGCTGGCACAGACCCGGCGCTGGCAGCGCTGTGCCCAGGCCCCGGCAGCGCTGCTGGGCTTCCAGCGGTGAGGCCGAGGGCAGCGGGAAGYGGCGCCTGGCGGCGGCACCGCTCCTGCTGCGGGCGGCCCACGGGGGCACTGCCCCATGCGGGCTCTGTGGCCACGCAGCGGCACCAGCCCCAAAGGGCAGCGTGAATTTGGAAGCAAAACTGCACTTCAGTTAGGAACCTCAGCCAGGCTCTTTTAATCTGAATTCTGAAACGTTAATAAAAATACCTGAAGAACGTAAACCAGCAAATGCTGCTTTCACAAGAGCCTTCCCTCCCTGCTAGTGAGGAGAAAAACAATTTCCTCCAGCCATGCTGGGTGGATTTAAACCTCAGACTTGTTTTTAGGCAGATGTTAAGCGCTACTGTGCATCAGGGCACCATGCAGTTTGTATCAACAATGCCAGGGCAGGGAAACACCTTCCCAATACAGTAACCGGGACTTGGTCCTGCCGTCCACCAAACCCAAGAAGGACAAGAGAGCCCCAACTCTGATCCAAGACCTCGCCTCTCCTCTGAAAGTGGAAATAAAAGCAAATTGCTCTGGCAGGTGTTCCAGGATGTACCACAATGGTGCACAACAACAGGACCTTCTAGAAATATTTGGGCAAAAGCTTCTTTTAGTTTTACCACTGCATTCACCTTGATTGAGGGAATTTTTCACTGCTGAACCCAGCTTAAGAGAGCTGCCAAGGAGCTGTTTTCTGTTGGTCCTTAGCACACCTGGAGTGAGCCCCTTTGGAGGATGACAGTACCCACAGTGCAAGGCACGAGGACCCCACAAACACCGCWGCCCTATCATGCTTTGCACAGCGGGTTTAAGGTTACAGATATAATTAGGTTAGTGACTTGTACAGTATGTCTGATTTCAAAGTAAAATCAGCGTATTATGCATAATATTATGCAAAGTGCCATAGCAACAGTAAGGCAGACTTCTAAGAAATGCTAATGAGTTAAGCTGTTCTGCACAAAGCTAACCTGGCTACGGAAAAAATAAACATTTTGCTTAAAATTCATACAAGACTCGGGCACTCTCTCTATAGTCAACACAAACCGCCCCGTGGAGCGGCCAGCGCTGCACGGACACGAGAGGGGAGCAGGAGGCCGTGCAGGGAAGGGCAGCGGCCGCGGGCGAGAGCGGAGCCGCACGGCGCGGGCGGCAGCACCGGCCCATGGAGYGGCACTGGCGCCGGCCATGACCCACGGGCACACGCAGGGATCCCCGGGGCTGGGGCGGCTGCAACATGGGAGAAGCAGGTTGATTTACTGCACAACACCGAGCTCCAGGGGACGGCGCGAGGGACACCGCGCCAAGGGCGGYGCTGGGCACGTAGCCCCCAGCCCAGGCACCAGAACTTGGCACCAGAACTTGCTGTGCTAACCCCAGTACCAGCACTTGGTTCAAAGCTCAGAGCGGGAAGATGATCATGTAGAAATCAGTGTTTGCCAGATAAAAATAGAATGGAAATGCTAATAAGATTTCCTGGTAACGTTAGATTGGATTATACATTCTCCATTCTCACTTGACGTGGGGCAGCACTTGCTCTTTTGCAGGAGCACCCTCACGCTGCCCTGCAAGACGATCTTATTGAAGGGCCTCACCCCGCGCGGCGCCCATGCTGCTCCAGGGCCCTGCTGGCATAAGGGGCAGCGCTGAACGGAGCCGTGGGCTCTGCCACGTGGAGCAGCGCAGCGCGGGGCAGCTGGCGATGCCTGGAGCAGCAGGGCTGCCAGCCTTCAGCAGGGGCAGAGATCTTCAGGAGCTGCATTTTAGCCAAGCGTTTTCTTGTCTCTGTGCAGGGAGACAGCATGAACCAACTTGCTGTTCCTACTGCTGGTGATTGATATTTCCAGAGGGACAGGCCACAACTGAATCACCTAAACACAGTTTCAGAAAGTTTTTCTTTTCCTTAGACTGTTGTACAACCTTGGCAAATTAAATCAGACCCATTATAGCCTGTTGAACACTGCACTGCTTGGAAATTACTTGGACAGTTRCACAAAAAAATCTCACCAAGTACACAAGTATATGATGAGAGTGAAATCGTCTGGTTTAAACACACAAGAGCAGAACACAGAGGAACATGGGCATCGTTACTGTCCTGCCCGAGGGCAGCTTTGAACCTTAACCTTGTGCAGAGAGAGACCTAGAGCTTGAGCAGCTGCGGGCAGCCCTTGGCACCAGCCCTTCTCCTGGCCACTGGTGCCTGCATTTAGCCACTGAGAAGCAACAGGACTTACAGTATACTGTGACTTTTACTTTCTTCACGTCCGGGACGGAGACGTCGTTTTCAGCGCTGCACTCGTACTCCCCGGCCTGGTCCCTGGTGATCCCATAGATGTCCAGGTACTGCCCGCTCTCAAAGGGCTTCGCTGCAAGGACACAAGYGGAGAGGGCAGTTAGTTAGAGCGGGGCTCGTGCCTTTACAGACAACATTCCTGATGCAGAAGGCAGCTCCRGAGAGCATGGCAGCTCCATCTGCCATTGGAAACACTTATGCTCTTCTCCCGCTTCCCAGAGGATTCCCCCAAGTCACCTTGGCTCAGACAGAGGTTTCTCAGCCATGTGTGTGCCAGGAGAAGAGTGGGAAAGGCCTTCCAGCAAGGAGCCTCCCGGATTGTTTCTAACACCAACAAAATCATATAAAATGCAACGTGTGCCCATGGTTCATGTCAAAATTTACTTCTACATTATGAAACTGAAATGCCCTCCAGCCTCGGTGCTGCTCTGAACGTACGCACCAAAATCCCGTGTACTGGATCCCGGGAAGAGCTGAGGCTCTGTCCAACGCCTATCCCCAGCACCAGTTTGGAGGCAGCGCCGCGAGAGCAGCCCTGGGGGTTCGGGCTGAGGATGAGCAGCCCAGCCCGGCCACGGGGTCCCTGCCGCCCCGCGCAACACCAGTGTGCCCAGAACGTGCCCGCACAGCACAACACTGCCCAGGCATTTATGGACCTTTCTATACGTACTTTACATACACGGTGTGTGTACATATACACATGCGTGCACACACATGTATTTTATATAACCCTTGCATTTCTAGGGATCTGCGCCGGACTATTAACCTAATCTATGCATGTATGATGCATTATGCATGGATTTTTATAAAACTGCAAACCCCATGTATTTTATGCAATTCACATACGCATTTTGAAAATATTAAAATTAAATCATTTTTAAAAGCTCATGCCTCCAGAAATTTTGCATCCAAATCACATGAGAGGGCTTTTAGTAAATATTAGAGATAAATATTTTTCTCAGGGAATACATTAAAAGCAAAGTCTGGAGYTTTATCAGTCTTTTTACTGAGAGATACTATGACATTTCATCTTTGCTATTCTTTTGCACAGTATTTCATCTTCACCTTGTTTTTATTTCTAGAGACTACCCCTGGCTACACAGTAGAAATTAAGCTATTATACATGAAAGATATATGCAAGTATATATACGTACGTATATGCAAGGCTATTTATGCTATTTGCACGCACAGCCTAGTTCTGAGCAAATACAGTGACTCGAGACATAACATGACCTTTGCCAATCCAACTTACAAAAGGACTGTTCATAAGACGTGGGGACAGTAAGTGGCGTAAGGGCCCAAAGGGGCGCTCACACGGGACACTAGCACCAGGTTGTGGCCGGCGGGTCGCCCTCCGTGAGCACCAGCTGCCTGAGGCTGCAACGGGCACTCACAGGGCCCGGCCTTGCCTGGGAGCCCAGCCAGGCCAACACCACCTCGGCACGAACCTCACCCATTTACCATATCCCCTTAAAATCTGAACCACCCTACATCTGAAAACACACTGCTCAGGAAGCATCGTGCTGGCCCTAGCAAAGCCAAGGAGCGGGGCTAGAGGCAGCCCCTTTGCTACGCCCTCCCCGCCAGGCGTGCGTCACTGCGTCCCGCCACTACTTATTCCAATGGGACGCAGCCAGGAAAATCCTGCYGCGGGAATTGGGTGCACTCGGCAGGATGGCGTTGGAACCGGCAGCCACGAGCAGTGCGTGCAGGCGGGATGGCCCCGCAGGCCCCGGCCCCGCGCGGGGCAGCGCGAAGGGGCCGTGCGGCAGGCGCAGCACCGCGCGCGCCATGCACCTCCAGCCCCCAACATTCCCCTTCCTCCTTCAACTACTGGTGCTGCACTTTGCTCTTAAATGTCACAGGGAAATAAGTAATACCTGCAATTTATTCAGGTGGCATTTCAGCAACGCAGGGTTTTCAGATTACAAACCCCAGCTCTGCTCTCCTTATAGCGTCACACTGAATGTGTAGATTTACATAACGGGCTGGCATAATGAATATTTATATAATGGGTGTATTTACATAATGACTGCAAGTTAAACATGTACCATAAAGATTACAGGCCAATAATTTATGTACTGTGTTAAAAATCGTCTCTAAATAGATTTTATTTTTATTCCTATTAAAGGTTCATTTTATCTCTTGTTCAAAAAACATGGAATCCAACCTTATCCAATGAAGGCCGCATTGATGCAAATCTTGATAATATTTTGGAATTAGTCTACATTGAATCATTTGTATTCAGAGATTTTAGCTTCTTATCTTTTAGTAGCAGCTTTGACAAACAATTTAAGAATATTCTAAATATAATTCTTTAATATAATTTAGGGTTATATTCTGGATGTGATGCTTGTATGTAAGCCTCATTAATGCCACTGGGAATTATAGGCGAAAATTGATAGGAAACATGAACTGCTGATGAACTTTATGTTTAGATAAAGGCAATTTGCAGCAGGAGGAACATAAACCCCAGCAGAAATCTCATGTTCTCAACTGTCCTGCATTTTTGCTCATAAGCCGAGGCCTCCCGCTTGCCAGAGAGGCTGTAATTGGTTTGGAGGGTCGTTTATAGGYGCCTGCAAGGCAGAACGGGCGCCCCGGCGCCGCAGGGGTATGTGCTGCTGACGGGAGCAGACCCCACGGGACCGGCCGCGCGCCGGGGCCCCAGCGCCGTGTGGAGCCAGGGCCGCCCCCGCCGCCGCCCCGGGGCTCGCTGGCTGCGCTGCTGCCCCGCGACCGCGCGCTCGTCCTCTCCGGCGCTGCCGGCCCGGACACCGCAATTCCATAGGTCATCTAGCGCAATTCCACGGGCCAGTTAGTGCAATTCCATAGGAGATCTAGCGCAATTCCATAGGCCATCTAGTGCAATTCCATAGGACAGCTAGTGCAATTCCATGGGCCAGCTAGTGCAATTCCATAGGAGATCTAGCGCAATTCCATAGGCCAGCTAGCGCAATTCCATGGGCCAGTTAGTGCAATTCCATAGGAGATCTAGCGCAATTCCATAGGCCATCTAGTGCAATTCCATAGGACAGCTAGTGCAATTCCATGGGCCAGCTAGTGCAATTCCATAGGAGATCTAGCGCAACGTGAGGCTCCTCCGTGAGGCTCCTCTGTGCGATCCCAGGACTTTGGGAACAGTTCCATGAGCCACAGAGAACCCCTGAGCCCCACACGAGGCCGAGCCGGTGCCGCAGCAGGAAACATGCAGTTAGAGAGAATGCTTACTTTAACACACCTTTCTGCTTGCATTTTTCATATAAAATTCAATTTCTTCAATAAAACTATTTTAATAGATTATGCTGTATCATGCAAGGTTCAATGTGAAATTAAATTAGATTTATTGATTTTTTAAAAAACATTTCTTTCTGTTTCTAGAGACTCCTTTGTGTTCCTGTGCATTTCCTTGTTTTTGTTTTAATAGGAATTGTCCCCCTATTGCATCCAAGTACTGCTGCTTATTCCAGGCAAGCCCCTCGGGCCCAAACTGAAATGACACTCAGGGTCTCCAATTGCGAGCGTCTCTGTTTCTCCACCCTCGCTCCACATTCCCCTGCGAGCTCTCGCACCGATTTCCTGACAGAACTGCCTGACTGAGGGTGCTAGAGCCCTGGCACAGGCTGCCCAGGATGCTGGTGGACTCTCCTTCTCTGGAGGTGCTCCAAACCCCTTGGATGCAGCCTGTGCCCCTGCTCTAGGTGACCCTGTGTGGGGCTGGACAGGATGACCTCTGGAGGTCCCTCCCTCCAACCGAAAGGATTCCAGGTTCCCGGTTTCTCCGGCAGCAGGACTGCCGGTCCCGTGGGAGGCGCCYGGACGCGGCCCGCGCTCCCGCCGCAGCGGCTCTCACCCGACGGYGAGATGTGTCTCCAGGAGATGGAGGGCTCCGGCTTCCCGGCCGCCAGGCACACGAGCGTCACGTTGCTCCCTTCGTTCACAACGAGGTCGTTCGAAATGCGGAATATCTTCGGGGAGACTGAAACGAGACAAGGAGACACCCAGGGTAAGGGAAAGGCGCCGAGAGCAACGCGCCTGCTCCAAGRGAGCGACACACACGAGCAGGAAGGCGACCGGCCCCGCGTCAGCCTCCCGGCTCCGCTGCTCCTGCTGAGCGCAGAAACGGCCCCCGCTCCAGAGCGAGAAGGGAAGCAGCAATTCCCCCCCCGTTTATGTATTGCTCCTCAGTTCCTGGCAAACTGCTGCCTCTGCTCAAGTGAAGCTAGAGCTTGCTATGAATCTGAAGTGAAGATTAAATTAACATGTTCTTGCATTKTGAAAAACAACAATGCCCAGTCCATCCACTCTGCAGGTACTCAGAGAGCCCTGGGTGCTCCTGCAGAAGACTAAAACACATTCACCTCTGTCGCTTTGTTCTTGTTCACACAGCGAAGTGAAAAACAGGTGGACTTTGTTCTTTCTTTACTGTCATCAGCAAAACTCCTTGCTAAATCCCATTTCTGTGTTACTGAGAAAACAAGAGTTCAGCAAGAGGACATGGTACCAAGTGGACAGACAACAAGGGGAAGCACTGGGTGCTCTGCCCTTAAGGGGATGCTTAATTGGGGTAGCAGTGCCTAATGAGGCACAATCCAGACATTCCAGGGACTTTGGGTTTTCAGAATGAATATTCCCTTCCTTTCCCTTTCCCTTTCCCTTTCCCTTTCCCTTTCCCTTTCCCTTTCCCTTTCCCTTTCCCTTTCCCTTTCCCTTTCCCTTTCCCTTTCCCTTTCCCTTTCCCTTTCCCTTTCCTTTTCCCTTTCCCTTTCCCTTCCTTTTGTTTGCTTGGAGCCTGTGCTGAAACATTCCCCAAACCCCAAAGGGCCAAAACTGGCAGGACGGTGGAAAAGCCCCTCTGGAAAACATCACACCCATCCCACTGCCGGCATCAAACACGAAGTGCTCTACAGTGCCTGGTGACTTGCTGTGAGTCACAATAAACCCAAATGATAAAAGAAAAGCCAAATATTTCTATTTTATCTAAACAAACAAGAAAAATGAAATCATTATTTTCATTTTTGCTGATGAAATTTTAAGTAATACTGAACACTGCAAAGATTGATATATCAATGAAGCCCCATCTTCCATTTGGAACGCACCCTGTTACATCTTGGACACATCCTATAGTGTCCACGTCCTCGGACACATCCCATAGTGTCCACGTCCTCGGGACAGGCCGGTCTCTTGGGCTCCTGGTGCCGCTTCCCACGCGCTGCCCGCTCGGGARCAAGGAGCTCGTTTCCCTCCTCAACCAGAATAATTTATTGCCGTGCTTTCTTAATATGCATATTGGTTTCATTAGCTTGCACAGTATCTAGAAATGATTAACATACATACATAAAATGGATTTTTGGTTTTCTTTTCATGACTTGAGCCTAGTAATTACATTGTGTAACAAATATGAAGAATGATTAAAACGTGTTTTTGAGGGTTATTGAGGTCAGCAATGCCCTCCATTTGCTGCTGGGAGTCTCTATGACTTTTCAGTTTGCTGTCATGAGACCACACAGTATCTAGAGTATCTTCCATTTTASTAATGCTTCCATTTTCCAGGAGTTTTCCCACATCTGGACACAGTAATGTCCCGGACAGCCTGTTCCAGGTGGCTCTACTTGAGGTCCCTGCCAGCCTCAGCTCCTCTTGGACTCAGCGGCTCGTGAAGTGACCCCCAAACACAYGCGGCTCCAAGACTGTCTTAATAAAGCTCTTAAATGATTAGCCTACACTACATGGAGCAACAGGCAGCGCTGTGCGCCTGTGGCCCACAGGTTTATGTGGCAAAAGGCCCCCAGGTGGGAAAATCAGGAATATTCCTCCGTTCTTGGGCAGGCTCCTGAGCAGCTCCCGGCTGGCGCGCGGGGCTCCGCGTGTCTCTGCCTGCACCAAACCACACGCAGGCTGCGAAGAAAACCACCATCTCTGGGCCATCATTCATTTCCAACCTGTGTCAATGCAAGAGCACAACAAGTAGCGCTTTTCTAGCCTTTGATTAATCTCTTCTCTCTTACTCCTTTCATATCATTAGWGGAACAACCATCAGTTCTATAAACTAATTTAATATCTTCTCACGAGAAATTTATTATCATGCATTATCTGTTATCAGTGATCAATTTGTTTTGGAYCAACTCAACTATCGTTCTTAAAATACAGAATAAGTGTCCTGCATTGCCAGAGCAACATGGTACTACCGAAGGGAGCGGAGAAACCGTATTCAAAATCCGTGAGCATCTCTTCTTCCGCAGCTCCACCAGCCTGCCCAGCAGCCCATGAAGGGTGGAAAAGGCTCTGCCAGGAGCCCAGGTGGCTGCACCGAGGACGGGAGCAGCCTGCGGGGCCCACGTGCCGCACGCCGGGCTCSGGGGCGGCCCCGGGACGGAGGGCAGCTGGAAGGGCAGGTCGAGGGGCTGCTGCACGCGGTGCYGCTGCCGCCGGGCACTGCTGCTGCCAGCCCCGGAGCGAGGGCGTCCCGCAGCGCTGCTCYCCGCCCGCGCTGCAGCCCCCGCGCCTCCCCGCGTGCCAGCAGCTCCGTGTGTCGCCGAGCAGCGCCGTGCAGGGCGGCGAGCCACGGCAGCCGACACACGGACCGCACCTCCTGCCATGATTAACAGGTGAAGGCTAATAGAGATCAAGAAAGCGCTATTGACACTGTAGGACTGCAGCTGATGTTGACTTAGAATGGGCAAACATTTACCAAGGACTACCTAGATTTAATATATTTTCATGAATATTTCAATAAAATTTAGAAAGCATTTTTAACAAAACCTGTGCTAAAAGGTCCGAGGCCGGTTCCTTGCACTGCCGTGCGTGGTGACTTTGGGCACCAGGGCGTGCTGGTGCTGTGCGCGAAGGCTCCGCGGGCGCCGCGCAGGACGGGGCTGCTGAGGGGTCAGCGCAGGAGGCTGCGGGGGCGGCGCTCAGCGGCCGGCAGCACCGCGTGTCGCTGCAGGACACCGCGCCGGCTGCCTCCTTCCACGTGAACGGGAGGGTCCTCATCTCCCACGCACCGTTCCCTTGTCACGCAGCCATTTCCCATCAGTGGCGAGGCACTCGCTGCGCGCCACCATTCCTCCATTCCTGATGCCGAGGTTTTCCCTCGCTGACCCGCCAAACCCCAAGGGCGGCAGAGACCCCTTGCATTCCCTCTGCAGCCCCTTCATCCCTCTGCGACATTTTTACATTACTGTACTGAACATATCACTGAGAAAATACAGAGATAGAGAAGCCGTATGCTGTGCTCAAGGGGTAGTTGTCATCAGCAGTCTGATGCAGAAGCGCAGCCAACACCATTGCTGTTCCTGCTAACTGGCTTGCCCCCGCGCAGGCTGCAGCCCCAGGCCTCCCGCGAGCACCGGCCGCTGCTCCGTGCAGCGACCCTCTGCAACGACGCTCCTGCTTTGCTGGCTGTCCTTCCCTACAGCTCCAGCACTGCCTTTAACCACCAGCTCCAGCATCCAAGCCRCAACACTCCGCTGCAATCTGCACGCTAAGGAATGCCAGCAGTTCTGTGGCCTCTCTGCACCTTCCCCCTACTTCTCCAAGCACACAGTGACGTGTCCTGCCGACCTCCGCCCCTTCACTACCCACCACAGGGCTGATGCTTCTCGGTAATGCCTGGAAAGGCCTTGGGGAATTCAGCACGGCAATTCTGCCACAACATCATGTATTTTTGCATCTGCTTGCTTGAATCGGGATGTATGAATAACTACTCCTGGTTTACATAAGCACACTCATAAAATAGGTACATGCATGGGTGAAGGCAGAGATGCAAAACCACTATTTACTTGCGAAATTATTCATTTTGTGCTCAAAAACCCAACGTGCTTTCAAATACTTCAGATGCACTCAAGGAGCCCTGCTGAAAATTTAACCGCAGTGTTATATTTAATGCATTTCACTGCTTTAATTTACATTTTCTGTACACTGTTATTTAAAATAGGCAATGTCAGAACATGAAGCGCACTAGGGGTTTACGTCTTGGTCACATCTCACCTCCCTTGAAACTTACTTGAAATTGCAGTTTAGCTCYGAAAACTCGTAACGCAAACTGAGATGAAGGAGGGAATTTTTGTTTAAGTGGCTGAACTCCAAAGCTGGAAAAAAGAACAACTTGAATCCAACTGAGAAAATCAAGGGTGTTAAGGAAAGGATGTTAAGGGTGTTTGTTTTCTAGTGATGAAAGAAAATTCAGTCCACCCAGAGCGCTTGGCTTCTTTTCCAGGCTCTGGCTGGACGCGCTGCGGGACAAGAGGCCGGCAGCAGCCAGGTTGGACGAGGCGGTGCAGGGGGGACCCCCTGTGTGGGGCAGAGCCCCACACGCTGCTGGGCAGGCGAGCTAAGGACCAAGTGCCTATGGGGAGAGGCGCCCACCGCCATCCTCTCCGTGTGCACATGGTTCACGCCTACTGATTTGGGCTAAAAAGTGCTCAAGTGTCTCTTCTAACCACATTTATTAAAATATTCCCTGTAGCGTATCCATCACAGATGCCTAATCTTGCAAAATCCCTGCAAAAGCCACAAAAACCTCGTAGATACCGAAGGGTTCCCGTCGCTCCTGCCCCAAGGGGGTCTCGTGCCCCAGCGCGGCTGGTTTCCCTTGGCCGGCGCCATCCCGTCGCACAGGCCCGCTCACCAACCCCGTACGGTTCCCCATGCGAGCAGTCCCTTCCTGACACTGCCCCCGCCTCACACAGGACACCCCTGACACTGCCCCCGCCTC